AGCCAAGGGAAGGGGGGAAGATAAGATCCGATCTCCTTTTATCTAGACATAATTAATGATATTATCGAACTTTATATAGTTAAATAGTTTTTGCGTCCTCTCTTTTGCTTCTTAGTTCAGCTTGAGTTCTTCTTTGAGCACTTTCATCATTTGTCTTCAATGTTCATTGAATTGACTCTATGTACTATTTAATCTTTACTCATTGGCCCAAATCAAATTTTGGATGTTTGTAATTTAATTCTTGAATTTCGAAATCCTTCCTTTTAGCTCGATTTTCGTTCATTTCTTCCAAAATGACTTTCAATTTTTGAGTTTTACCTAACAAAAATATATACAAGAAATTAAGTAATAATTCATCAAAAGTACTCTCAATTTTCATGTTTAACAACCTAGATAAATATATTTTGTACATTTATCAGAAATTCACACAATCTGTTTTCAGTAAGTTAACTTTGATTCCTTTCTTTACATTGTATTCACGTAAAACTCTCCTTTTTTCCCCTTATTTAGTAATGGGGTCCCTCGTTTATTCTTAATGAATCTTGATCCATGAATCTGCATAGAAGTATTCTTAATTATGATCAAAGTATAGAAATTAAATTAAATTAAAAAAAAATTGATTTGGCGGGTATTACATAATATGGACTATTGGTGTTTCAATATATGTATATTGGTGCAAGTTTATTGAGATATGTTCATGTCCTATCTAAGTGGAGCTGGATGCTGAGTCCAACTATGGTATGATTTAAATTGTTTTCCGGGGAAAATATTTGTGCATTGGTAGGCTTCACTTTTTTACACATACCTTTTTAAGAGAGCGGACTGCTATATGAATTAGGTGATGATGATGTCTAATGAATGAACAATTAATTTCAAATTTCAACTTCAGTGGTTCTATCTATAATTCAAATTTCACCACTAATATAAATTTAATAGGAGAGAGAAAATATAATAAATATGGAAAAAAAAAATACTCTATTTAGAATAATCTCTACATTTTGATGGACATCTTCCAAATGTCTATTTTTTTTCGTTAGTACACTAGACATAGCACTTAACGTATTGCATCGGAGTGAAATTATCTTGACATTGTTTATTGATTAATGCTACATAGCAACATTGGTATTAAACACCAATTTAGACTATAATTAAGCCCTTGTTTGGGCTCATTCTTAAAAAAAGAAAAAAAAAAAAAATAAGAGCAATTTTTCTATCATCTTTTTAGTAACTCATTCTTCAATAAATTAATATTACACCAATTTCTCTTTATCTTTTAACCTAGCATTCTCTAAAAAATACTATTTTAAAGTACATTTTTAAAGGAGCCCAAAAAGGATTAAATATCATTCATTTTAAGTGGAAATTACATTCTTACCTACTTTTCAAAATCAATTTTCTAAAATCATAGTGAAGGTTTCAATGTACAAAAATCAGATGTTTTAAATATTAAATATTATAATACAAATTTAATTAACCCTAATTCATTTTCATTTCCCACTCTTCCTATGTCTCACCGACTCTCCCCACTCTTACTCTCTCCTTTCATCGATTCAAGAAGCCGGCGATGGAGTTGCTCCGACCGACACCACACCACACCACACCACAACGCTTGTCATCACTGGACAAACAGTCGGTGGTCGGAATGGTGCGGCTCATCTAATCGACTGTTTTGTTGCCGATGAATGGTATGTTGCGGGGAGAGGACTGACGACGCTCCTCCACCTATCCCACTCTCTCTTGCTACGTGAAGGAAATCGGCGTTGCAACTGGAAGATCGGTACAGCTAAGCGTTCGCCGCTCACTTTTAGTGTATTAAGGTGGCGGTCGCATTGGCAATTTTGGGAATTTTTTGGTAGTGGTGTGGTGTAGAGATGGAAATGGTGATGGTGTTGTAGCTAGATTCTGCAGCTCCACGATGGTAGTATGGTGGTGTGGCAGTGACGATGACAATGAGTTTTGGGATTTTTTGGTTATTGTGGTGTGGTGAGAGATGGAAATGATGAAGGCGCTACGGTCGGAATCTACAGCTCCGCGATCTGGTGGGTTTTTGGGTATGCTTTCAATTGGTGGATAGGAGCTGTAATGGTGGTGGTGTTTGGGTGGCGACGACTTTGTTGGATCCGATGGCGGAGGATACTTTGAATATGGTGGTGGTGGTGGTTTTGTTGGTGGCAATGGTGTTGGATATTGTGGGTGGCTAGATGATGGCGATGGTTATGGTGATATGTAGGCGATGGGTATATCGAAGTGGTGGTGGATATGGTGCGAGGATGTGTTGATTTGAGGTGGTGATGTTGCCATCGAGAGGTGGCGGTGGTGGTAGGTTATGGCGACGATGACGGTGGCGGTGGTGCTACTGCAAGAAGTGGCTAGGTGGTGGTCACAAGTGTTGTGGGGTGTTTGTGACCAACTAGTGGGTTGAATGTGACCAATAATTGGTTAATTTGTGATTAATGAATAATACGTGACCTAAAAATTGTGTTTATGACTCATAATTTATTAAATTGTGATAAAAAAAATTAATCGTGATCAATTAATCTAAAAATTTGCAATGAAAAAATGACTTGTGATCAATAAAAGTTTTCATTCTGTGACCAATGAATAATCTGTAACCTATAAAATTTTTGATTCGTGACCAAAAAATAATATGTAACCTATAAAATTTTTGATTTGTGAACGAGAAATAAGTTGTGACCAATAATTTGATAAGTTGTGACTAAAAATTAATCCGTGACCAATTAATTTTTTTATTTGTGACGACCTACAAAATTTCTGAATTGTGATCATAAAAAAATTTTGTGATATAAAATTTTTGATTTGTGACCAAAAAATAATAAGTAACTAATTAAATTGTTCATTTGTGAGCAAATTGTATAGATCTGTGACCTAAATATATTTAATTAATAAAATAAATAATTAACTAATTAAATCATAAACAAATATTAATAAAAATCTGATTTTGAAGTTTGAAATTTATTTTCTTAATTTTGAAATATGTGATACTTAAATTCTTACTTATGAAATTTTCCCTCATTTTAATCGTGACATGTATTTTTATATTTTAGAGTGCAATCCATGAATAAAATTCAAAATTGATGTTAAATACCAACAATGTTATTCTGGTCTATTTTAATTTATTTCACCACCTTTTTATTGCAATCCTTGTTAGTATTATTGAAGATGCTTTTATTCCATTTTTGAGAATAAGCCCACTGCCCACCCATGATCTCCGGACGGTTGGAAAGGGAATGCTGAGTTGGTGAGGTACCATAATTTGTCACTCCCACGTGTCATCCACTAATCTCGAGAAAAAGGTCCTGAAAAAGAAATAAATTCATCATTTTGCTGGGACATCCTTAGTAAAATAATAGGACAAATTTACCCTCAAAGGGTTGACCCTTTAAGTCATTTTACCCCTTTATATCAGCGTAATTAAGCATTTGTTTGTCAATCATTCTATTGTATTATTTTTTCTACAGTACTTATTTTTAATCATACACATTCTTCATTAAAATAATATTACACATAAATCAAAAAAATTTCCTTCTTTTTTAACAACATATTTCAACATCAATCACTATTCCATAATACACTTTTTAGAATTAAAGGCGCACAAACATGCCCTAAAAGAGTAATTATATACGTACCACAATTTTTATCTATTGCATCACATTTTAATCAGACTTAAAGTTTTTAATCTTAGTTTATTATAGCACATATGTTCATAACGATTTTTCATGTCATTTATACCTCAAAATTTTCATTAGTGAACACATTTTGTATTTGATAATATTTTTATATTCAAAAGTTCATTGAAATGACTTAAATCAATTTATTTTTCCATCAATTTTTAAAAATAAATAAATAAAAAGTGCAAAAAAATGTTTTTTCTATTTCAAAGCATGAAAAAAAATATTTTCTAATATACATCATCATCAAGGATGAGACATATTAATTAAAGAAAGGTTGAAGATAAGATTTTAATGAAAGAAGTTAAGAAAATAATTGCAAAAATGAACAAAAATTGATAAACTTAATTACAGTTAAAATGTAGTGTATTAAGTAAAAATTGTGGTGACAATATAACCACCCTAATTACAATCACATCAAAATTTAAAATTTTTGCACCACATTTTAATTGCACTTGAAGTTTTAAATCTTTATTTATTATAACATTTAAGTCTTAACATTTTTTCATACCATTCTTATCTTCAATTTTTCATTAAATAAGTATCTTATGTCACATAACAATTTCTGTCCAAAAAAAAATTGTTGAAAGGGAGTAAAATGACTGACTTTCTTAACATATTTTTCAAAGTAATCAATAAATAAGTGCGATAAAATATTTTCCCTCATTTCAAAGTATAAAAACATAATATTTTGATAGATTTCATCATCAAGAACAAGATGTACTAATTTATTGGATGTTGAAAATAAGAATTCGATGAAAAAACTTAGGATTATCAACATTATAACGAATGAAGATTGAAAAACTAAAGTACAATAAAAATACGGTGCAACAAATAAAAACTGTGGTATCAATACAACCGCTCTTTATACCATAGTATTCCACCCTCAATTAATTATTTCACACATACTAATTAGTGCAAAATTTCAACTCGTCTCATAAGTAATTCTAATAAACTACATCTATGATTTTCTTGCATATATATGTTCCATCGCTATTGAAGCAACTACCTATGCATTTAGGCTAAATTGAATCAAAATAAATAGATAAAGAGGGTCTACACGTACAGAAAATAGGTTTATAGAATTTCTACATAGTACACACAACATGGAGGGTGAGTGGTATTTTTGGACAATATTTTAAACACGTGAAACCCACCCTCACGTCTCACATTTGTGGCTATTCTGTGAAACCATTTACTGTACAAATGGTCCACGGTTTAAGGCAAATTAAATAATGAAAGATTTAAGTCCATCATGAACATTGAAAATTCCAAAGTTGACCCTGAAAGGGCAAAAAGGGCATAGAGGGCGTTGGCATCTCTGCAAAAGCGCCAGGTCTTATCTATCCACCATTGATGCTCGCTGTCATGGGACCTCACACGGATTTAAATCATAACAACCAAAGTCTTTAAAACCTGAATTTTAGGTTCAATTTTGTTTCATTTCCCGTTTTTAAACAAGAGAGGGCGGGCACCTCACACCTCCTACACAAATCCACAGGAGAGACCCATTTTCAAAAAGGCTTCAGAGGTAATCTCTGTTTTGGAACTTAGATTTTTTGTTGTTGTGGGATTTGTTGTTTATGTTCTTAATGTGGGTATTCTGAATTATGATCAAAGGGCGGACATTTATCTAAAACACAACGTGTGATGTGGTGGATATTGCATAATTAATTGGAGGCCATGCGTGTTTCATTTTGAAAGTTAAATGATTTATGCAAATGCATCATCTGGGATCTCATCTGAATTTACTAAAATTCGGAATTTTTCATGGATATAGTAAATCTAGAATTGAAATATCCATGAATTGATTGAATTCTGGTATTATTGCTGGCAATGAAATCTTGGCAAATGAAGGTCTACAAGTGAATCATTAATGGAAAATGATATTTACCAATTGATCATTACGGTTGCCAAATGCTTAACCTGTTGATCTGTTTATATGTCCTTTCTCTGTAGGGAGCTGAATGCTTAATTGAATTGATTGCCATGGAATTTATTGTGCATCAGTTGGCGCACCTACTTTTCTTGATGGATCTTGCACTTTTAACTGTGAATATCATTCTTATTTGATGCCAAATTTCGTTTTGAGTTTCAAATAATAAATGAAAACAATGCCATCCCGGTTTTTTTTTTTTTGGGTCAATCTAGACGAAGTTCATGTAGCTTTGATAATTTTTTTTTGGCATCACATCAATTGCAAATTTTTATGTCCATGGTAATAAAATATCAAATCTCCTCATATTAGCTGAAAGTCATTCTATTTTCCAGATCATATTAAGTGATGGCAGAAGCCGAGGATATTCAGCCTCTTGTATGTGATAATGGAACAGGAATGGTCAAGGTATCCACCTAATATCCAATGACTTGTACGCTTTATCATTCCAATACCTCCAATGATGATTTTTCAACCGCTAGGCCTTTGTTAATTAAGAGTTTACTTTTGAAGCTTGTGATTTATGGTGAGATCTCATAATTTTTAGGCTGGATTTGCTGGAGATGATGCTCCAAGGGCAGTCTTCCCCAGTATCGTGGGCCGCCCACGTCACACCGGTGTCATGGTTGGCATGGGCCAAAAAGATGCCTACGTCGGTGATGAGGCTCAATCCAAGAGAGGCATTTTGACTCTAAAATATCCAATTGAGCACGGAATTGTCAGCAATTGGGATGACATGGAGAAAATTTGGCATCATACCTTCTACAATGAACTTCGTGTGGCCCCGGAAGAGCATCCCATTCTCTTGACAGAAGCTCCTCTTAACCCCAAGGCGAATCGTGAAAAAATGACTCAAATCATGTTTGAGACTTTCAACACTCCTGCTATGTATGTTGCCATTCAAGCCGTTCTTTCGCTTTATGCCAGTGGTCGTACAACTGGTAAGAAAAATGCTAGTTCCTGTTAATTCTCCATGCATTGATGCCCGACATGCCGGTGCTTTCATCTTTTTCTCATGGATAACTATATTGATTTGTTCATTTGATCAATTCATATTAACGATCTAAGGGTATTATATTTTGGCTCTCCTACCAAGCACACACAGCCACTAACATACTGTACAATGACAAAAGTCGTGTGCCAATTGCATAATAAAAACTATCAGAACTAATTCTTAAGAAATACATCCCTCTCAGGAAAAGACATTTTCAGAAGTATATGCTGAAATGAATATGCACTTTATAGTGTACAACAGAATGCTGAATAGTAATTCCTCTTGTCAAACCAAATTACGTTTGCCTGTTAACTGAAAAAAGGAAGAAGACACAAACAGGATAGGTGTTGATATCTGTAGTCTATATACCAAAATGGAGGACCTAGGCTATATTCTGGATTGCTTGTATCTTAAATGATCTTGAACGTGTTCTATATAGTAGAAAATGCCATCAGTTTGGAACCTCCGAAGCGCAGGAATCAAACTTATTATTAACAAAAATAAGTTGTACGATCTGTCATTAAACTTCGGCAAAATGGCTTCTCTAATATGTTGAATTGTGTCATTAACGGCATAAATATGACTTGTTTTTCTTGTTGCCAGGAATTGTTCTCGACTCTGGTGATGGTGTCAGCCATACAGTCCCCATCTATGAAGGTTATGCACTCCCCCATGCAATCCTGCGTCTGGATCTAGCCGGGCGTGATCTCACTGATGCCCTCATGACGATATTGACTGAGCGAGGCTACTCTTTCACCACATCTGCTGAGCGTGAAATTGTAAGAGATATAAAAGAGAAACTAGCTTACATTGCTCTCGACTATGAACAAGAGCTAGAAACTGCAAAAACCAGCTCATCTGTGGAGAAGAACTATGAACTGCCTGACGGACAGGTGATCACTATTGGTGCTGAGCGATTTCGCTGCCCAGAAGTACTTTTCCAGCCATCAATGATTGGTATGGAATCTGCTGGCATACATGAAACTACTTATAACTCTATCATGAAGTGTGACGTTGATATTAGGAAGGATCTGTATGGAAACATTGTCCTCAGTGGTGGTTCAACAATGTTCGGTGGAATTGCTGATAGGATGAGCAAGGAGATTACAGCATTAGCTCCAAGCAGCATGAAGATTAAGGTGGTGGCTCCACCTGAGAGGAAATACAGTGTCTGGATTGGGGGTTCCATTTTAGCCTCTCTCAGCACTTTCCAGCAGGTATGACTGGGATTTTCTTTAACACCTATACTGTTTTATTCAAAGTCTAGCATTACACCGTTTTCTAATATCAAGGGCTAACTGAATAAAAATTCGGCTATTGCATCTATTTTGGTTACCTTTCATCGCAATTATTAAAGTTTAACCTTGTGAGTCCATCGTGTTTTGCTCTGATCGTTGGAAAACTGAAGCCTCTGACTGCAAAGGCTGACATTTATTTGTCCGATTGTAAATAGATTGAACATTTGTTAAGGAACTTCAAGAATTTCTTACGAGAGCCTTCTCTTGTTTCTGTGAATGCAGATGTGGATAGCCAAGGCAGAGTACGATGAGTCCGGGCCTTCGATTGTCCACAGAAAGTGCTTCTAAAATTACCTATGACGAAAAGAAATTGTTGAGGAATTTATACATTCTATTTTGGAAAAGGCTTTTCATTAAGATTGCTGATTGCTGCTTCTCATTTGTATTTTCACATTTTTTTTCTTGTTCTTTCCTATGGGGCTATAGCATTGCAACAAAATAATATCATCTTACGCAATATTTGTTTTTCCATTGATATTAAATTATAGTATAGTTGAGTGTTTTAAGTGTTATTATGATTTAAGTTCTGAATTAAAGGCTCTCTGACTTCTTCCTTTACAGTACTTGAATATTTGTTTGAATCACTGTCTACTTATCACAGTCATATATAACAAGAATCATTTTTATATAGAGTGCACGAATTATTAAAGTACCCTTCATTTATATTCTGCTTTGCTGAAAGCCTTGTTGGGATTTGGACTAATTGGTGGCCTGTTTAATTTTGGCATCCAAGAAAACTTGTAAAGAGTAGATACACCAACAGCAGCTTCTCTAATCTCTCTGATTTTTTTATTTTTATTTTTTCACAATATTAGACCCCTAATAACGGTAGTATTTCAATCAAATACACGTAGAAATTGCGGAGGGTTCTTTATCTCCATTGAGGGGGGAAATTTTTTTCTATGAGAACAAGCTCGGATTGTAGCTTCTTCAGAAGGTATGGTTAGATCATTTCTTACCAGCCTACCATAACAGTCACCATTATACTTATAATTGAAAAAGTTAATTCCAAACACCAACTGCATACTGAAGTTAGGTTCCTTCTAGACATGGTACACAACTACTGTCAACAGAGATAAGTCCTAAAACATCACAAGGCAAGCCAAGAACACAGATCCTGTAGAAACAGCAAGAATTGGATGTCTTGAGATTCAAATTTGTGATCCCAACAAGTTTATTAAACTGAAGGAAAAGAACAAAAATCAAACTACTTGGCTGTGTACAAGTCCGGCATCTCAGAGAGCCTAAACGAGCAGATTAAAAATAGCATAGAAGAGAAAGAAAGATGTCAAGAAAAAATATGCTCGAAAACATTACGAGGGCTTCAAAACTTTCAGTTCGAAGAAAGGAACAATTTTCAAAAGTTGCTGCAGCTGGCCTTCTCCATATTCAAGATCACGAGCAACCTTCAGATAGGACACTTTGCTTCACATCAATACCTTGAGGAAAATTAAAATTTGATGGTCCAACGGTATCCACAAATCCTCTAATTGATAATTCAGGTACAGATGCATTATTTTCGAACATTTCATGGTCTATGAAGATGACAACAACAGTAATATCATCATGAACACGTCTCCTCACCCCCTTATCATACTTCTTGAGCTCATTATACGTCACCCGTCTTTTCTTACAGGCCTGGTTTATAGCTGATATTAGAAGTCTCTTGGCTATGCCCTGATATTCAAGGAAAAATATGGAGAAGATCATAAAAAAATATGTTAACGAAGGATTATATGGACAAATAATATGAAAGCTAGAAAATAAGAAAATAATACGCACCACTCTTGGATTGTTATGGACTATCTCAACAGCATCCTCATTTGTCAAGTATTCCCAAAGACCATCAGATGCAAAAATAAGAAACTTGTCATTTGGTTGTAAAACTCTTGTGCATATAGATGGATCAGATCTCAACACTGGTTGATGCAGAGGTTCATGAAGGTGAAATCGCGGAAAAGATGGATCAAGAGCAAACTCTGGCCTTTTCAAGTAGGCGTCTCCTATGGATCTTGATACCTGAAATAAACATGGCTTAGTCTTGCAATAATCATAAAAACCCGCCCTGGGGTGACCAGAAAAACTAAAAATGAGTGGTTGAATGGCGGTTACAGGTTAAGATCAAAGCAGGAAAACCAGAAAACATAATAGTGATTATAATATATAGGAAACAGCAATCAACAGCAAATGGAAAAGATCATCTGTAGAAATACAGATTCAAAAAAAGTCAAAACTGAGTCAATTTATTTGCTTGTCAACTTCAATTTTCAGAATCAACCAAAATAATTCATTGAAACAACTACAACAAACTGGGACCTATTCCCAAGAAAATCGGGATCAGCTACTGGAATGCTTCTCACAACTGTTTTCAGTTCAAAAGAATTCCTCGAAAGAACTAGAAAAAATGAAAGAAAGAAAAGAAACTGAAAAGGCAAAAGATAATAGCATCTCTGTTAAGAACATTACGGCATACAGCATTTAAAGTAAAGAAGTAAAGACAGGCTGCAGCATTAAATAAGACCAGCACATCCCATTGACTCCTGAACTCCTGTAAGGTCGAAATTCACAATATGATGAATGGACTATCAAGTTTGACTGTCAATTAAATCTAGAATTATAATTAATTAGTAAAGGGTCACATTTAGCAACTAGAGGTTAGATTCTGAATTCTACTGATTAGACATGCATTTTTATTAGAAATCGTAGATCCAAATATCAGTTTATGCAAAACATAAATGTAATTTTTACAACGCGTTTAGTTTATTTTAGTTAATATAATTCATGAGCAAACACAAAATTATGTCAAAATTAAATTCCTGGATGCAGCACTTTTTGTCAGGCAGCATGTATAGTCGGTTTTGACAGTCGTATTTAGTGCGCAAAAGCACACTTAATGGGGTTAGAGGCCGATTTCCAGTAGACCTACAGAGAACATAATACTTCGTGACTAACTTCTAGAGTAAATCATTGAATCGATAAAGAAAATGGAAGTTGTCATACGCATGAAAGTAGAAAACTGATTGCATGTTCAGTGGGGATGAGTAGATAGTACTAGACAATAGAAAGGAACAAAAATAAGCTAATATCTTGCTTATTATACTATCTAGTCCTGCCCAGTAGTATGTGCCAAACATGCACTTAAAGCTTTTTCAAGGTTAACTGGTAGTAAACCTGTATAATGCCTTTGATGCGCCAGACCCCCTGCTTCATAACTACGATATGCGAATCTTCTGGATGTAAAGACCTGAGCTCCTTTCTCACCTCCTCAAAACTGGCATTGTGATCCTTGGTCAGCTGCTCAGCCACAATTTTATTCAATCTGTTTATAGAACCTAGTACAGCCCGAGAATCGCCCAGATTTGCAACAAATAGTGTACCTTTGCAGATTACTCCAACTAGACAACAGGACCCAATAGCTGCAATTAATGGCTTAAGTTCATATGCCCTTCTGACAAGAGTTAGAAAACCATCTTCAGTTTCAGAAAAGGCGTTCCTCAGAATGTCCTCAGATATAGTTCCATTATCACGAGCAAGTTCTGTGAAAAAACAAAATGTGCCATGTCATGCATCAGCCAAACTCATAGACTGGCATTGGGAAAATAAACACAGTATATAACATCAATAAACAAAAAAATGATGAAGAGTAGGATAACTCTTGCCAAGAGTCCAAACTGATATGAAAACAGAGAAGAAAAAAATGCATACAGCAATAGATTACTTATAAAGAATAAATAGAAAAAGAGAAAAAAGGCATGAGATGAAGATTGAGAAACATTTGATAAAGAGTATAGACATCAAGAAACTCAATGATGACCATCGACAGTGCCCAGATGCTCTAGTTCTAAATCAAAATGAGTGAAATTTTAATTTCTAAAACTTTCATTAGTTTGTTTACTGAGCTCGAAGGCAGCATGTAAAAGTGTAAGCAATTTAAATATAGAACAGTACCAAATGACAAATTTATCTACATAATGACATGTATATGAAGAGAAATCATTAACAATCAGACCTCCATAGACTTAATAACTAAAATGACAACTGACTGGAAAGAATTTAGTCTATCATTGCCCGATGCCCAAAAAAATGAAAATAAGAGTAACAATAAAGAAAAGAACCATGATGCCATTTTTTGAGCGCACTCAGTCGATAAAGAAACAATCAAACTGGCAACCAGAACAAAAGAATAAAAAGCACTAAAACATACCACACAACAAGGTAAGTGCAGCAAAGACATTCACCATAAAGACCGTAAAATTTGCTTATCATTTAACAAAACTACATCATGAACACAATAAAGTTCATTTTAAGTCGGATTTTTCCTTCTTTCTCCTACATTCATAAATTAAGATCACTACAATTACGAGGTAACACTCCTATTATCATTACAAAAAGAATGGATATCAAATTCTAATTTAAGGAAATTTTAAATTGAAAAAAATAATAATAAATAAATAAATAAATAAAATTCATGTAACGGAACCCAGCATGCAAAACTATTCAGGACAAGTCATGGAATGCCAAAAAAAAATTATCTACCCAGTAATGGGGATCTACCCTGAATTAAACATGCAATTAATATGTATTGCTTTTTGTCATTAATTCAAATTAAAAATAGTCAGGAACTCTCACTGGAAGGATAGAAATAAACATTTACATAACTATCTAAAAAGAGAGAAAAAGGGCAAAGGAAAGAAGCCTCACTGATCAGATTATGAAAGAGGTGGTCACATATGAATCTAGATGCGTCAGGGCCCCCATGGCCATCATAAACACCAACAAAGGTGGCATGTTGACCAGTCTCAACTTGGCTCTGATCCTCAAGAACTTCATTTGCCTGGACCACTGCGAACGAGAACTCTCCATGAGAATGCTTCTCAAGATCTTTGCACCAGAGAAGTGCATCATCCTCACCTCCCAAAGAATCATCATCATCCTTGTTCATACGGGCATATCGGCCCAAAGGTCGCAAACATGAAGATGCTGTTCTTCCCAACCAAGAAAACATCCCTCATTTCCTTCTTATGCAATGCAGTAGAGAATTTTTGAGGTCGATGCAGAGGACCAATCTACAGTAATCTTTGAATGTAATTCTCCAAATCCAATAACACTGTAAAGGCAAGAAAGGAAAAAAATCCAGAATCAAAAATCATATTTAATACTATTAGCCAGTAAATCAAGATCAAAAGATTCCAATAACAAGATGTACTAGAAACAAAAAGGAAAAGTTAATAATTCAAAGCAGTAGTATATACTATTAAAAACAGGTAATAAAGGCCTTGTTCTAAGAAAAGAAACAGATACACCCCCGGGGGGTGGGGGGTGAATATTTCAAAACTGAAGCAGAGAGCAGCACCTATAGAAATTTTACAGCGGAAAACTCAATGGCAAAATAATTGAAAAAGACACGGATGCAGCAAAGCAACATAATAAAATACAATGAGGAAAAAAAAACAAGAACTTGCGTTTGAGAAATAGCAAAAAATTACCTATTATGACGAAAAAAATCTTTAAAAAAAAATTGACTGATGTAGGAAATTTTGGTAAATTCAGAAAGAAACAAAGACCACTTCTGACTACTAAAGAATAAAAGAACAAAACCTGCTACATGTAGTTTAATTCAAGAACAAAACCCTAAAGAGCCAAGAAAGAGACAAAGACGCACTACGACCCAGAATTTTCAGAAAATGTCAACATCCTATTCGAAAACCGAAACAGGACAATCACAGAAGTATTGATCATTATGTTTCCGTACAGAGAGCATAATAGAAGACATACAAATTCAAGATTGCAGTGAAGAAATCCAAGAAAATTAAACAGAACAAAATCCAACTACAAGAACTTACCAAAGTTCTTTTTCACAGGAATGGCAAGTAGAGAGCGTGCAGTGACATATGAAGAACCCAAAATACAATTGATCAATGCAGAGTCCTGGAGAGAAATATTTCACTATATTCGTAAAACGAAATAAAAAAAAAAAATGTTGATCAAGTTTCAGATCAATGCGTAATACGTAAAGATAAAATTTCATATCATGATCTTCGTAGAGAAGTTGAAAAATTCAAATTCAATTTGTTTCACAATAAAAGGCAAAAGGCGGAAGAAAATACGAGAGAACAGATCTGAGTTTGAGAATTACAACTACAATTGGGCGTACATTTATGCACATTCACTTTTCATATGTGCACTTCGCGCAGAGAGAGAGAGAGAGGAGAGAGAGAGAGAGGGAGGGAGAAGAAATTGGGTGAAAATTGTAAGAAAGATATTGCAAGTGTGACTTATTTAAATGCTTCAAGTTTGACTATCTTAAAAATTAAAGTATTAAATTGATAAGTGATAAGTTGATATCTGATATATAAGTTATAATTTTTATGATAATAATTCATCCCTCCTAACAAAACAAAACAAAATAATAAATAAATAAATTAATCAACTATTGGTTGTATCAATAATCTCAAGTCAATGTTATTTTATGGGATGGGCAGCCAAATGCCACTAGAGGTAGACTCCAGGGTTGTGACATTTGGAGAAAGTACACTAGCAAGCAACCAATGTGCCAACACAATCCATTTGGAGTTATTTTTCGTGTCAAAAGATTATGGCTTGATATGATATTTTTGTATATGTAAGAAAATGGGTTTTCGAAGGGCTAAAGGAAAGAAAACCTCCGAAAAGAATCAGTACTTTTATTTCATTATTACTTCGTAATTTAAAAATAGCATTTTATAAACAAAATTGTGTACAATTATTGAAATGAACATAGATTTTAATCACCTCCTTTTAGAGGTGTTACTGAAAATATGGCTTATACATCAAAAGAAATTTTATATGAAAATGCTGAAATTCCAAAAAGTTTTTGACATGGGATTTGACAGATACTCACAATGCTGGGATTGGCAAGAATAAATAATTGGAAGGAAGAAGTTGACCCCACTCCCAAATGTGAGGGTTGATCAGAACTTCTGTTGTTCTCTTTTGATAGTGCAGTAAAGTCTAATTTTATATGAGTAAAATTGGATAATTCACGCAATCCCACCCTAATATTTGCCTATTTTGTGAAATATCTCGTAATCTTTCATTTTGATGCAAACCCACTTTAATAATCTAAACGTTGCTAAGGACTCCTTGTGATCTATATACGTTAATTTACCCATTAAAATAGTTAAGAGGCCACAATGAATAAAAATACAAAGGATATTTCCGTCTCTTCATACTCACTTAAGTTCATGTTTGTTTAAGACACAAACTGAGAGAGAAACCAACAGTCAATTTCAGTAGAAGGAACCCCACGATTTACCCAAAAAAATTTTAAAAAATCAACAATTAATTTTCACGCTTTTGTTCACTAGAGAAGTATTGCACACCATTGTACTAAAAGTTTAATTTAAGTATGTTGAATTTTGATCTTTTATGTTCAATTTTTAGACAAATAAGTTGATGTACGATGTGGATTTATAAAATAAACTCAATTGTGGATGATTTTGAAAATTTTCTTTTTTACTTGGCTCTGTTAGAAAGAAAAGTTTGCCATTCTGCTATGTTGTACTCTGAATTCTGCTGTTCCAGTTTGGATGGTTTCTACTAGTTTTGAGTTCTGCTTGTTTGGATGATTTGATTTGTGTTAGTTGTAGGATATAGCTCCCGTTTGGCCCCCATTTTCTAAAAATGAAAATAGGTGGAATAGTATTTTTTTTGAAAAATGAGTGGTTAAAAAAGAAGGAAATTTTTTCGATTTACATGTAATATTATTTTATGAAAGATTGGGCTGGGGAATTATTTAATTTGTCATGTGGGCCAATATATGTAATTAATTGTACATAAAAGTTATTTTAAAGTAGGAAAAATTCATATAAGAGTTTAATTATAATCCATTTCAAAACTAAGAAATAAATTTTAAAACTTCAAAAATCAGATATTATTAAATTTTATTTATGAATTTATTAATTAAATATATTAAGGTTATAAATCTATACAATTTGATCACAAATTGTCGAATTAATTGATTACAAATTATTCCGTGAGTCATAGATCAAAAATTTTATAGGTCACAAATTATTTCTCTGTCACGGATCAAAAAATTTATAGGTCACAAATTATAGAAGTCACAGATAAAAAAATTTATAGATTAAAATTTATTCATCAATCACAAAATCACAAATTTTATAAGTTACAATTTATTTAATGATAACAAATTATCAAATGAATCAGTCACAGCTTAGTAAATTGTGAGTCACAATCATATTTTTAAATCACATATTATTTATTAATTGCAAATTGACAAATTTATTGGTCATAATCAACTAAATTACTGGTCACAATTATTTATGATTATAATCAACCAAATAATTGGTCACAAATACTCCCCATTCCCAACCCTATCCTCACCACCACCACTACCAACCAACAATACTATTACATCGTTGCCACCATTACCATCACCACCAACCTACCTCTCCACAACCACAACTCTTACATAATAATAATAATAATAATAATAATAATAATAATAATAATAATAATAATCCTCAAATTTGCCATTGGGCATCACCACCACCGCCGCCTATAACAACAAAAGACACCACCACTGCAACTGTCACTGCCACCACTAGATACAACAATGCCACCGTCAGATCCATCCCACTAGATGCATCGTCGATCCAACAAAACCCAGATCCATCGACGGATGGATCTTTCCCTTCAGTATGCATTCTCTCTATAACCACCACCGCCGCCTATAACAACAAAAGACACCACCACTGCAACTGTCACTGCCACCACTAGATACAACAATGCCACCGTCAGATCCATCCCACTAGATGCATCGTCGATCCAACAAAACCCAGATCCATCGACGGATGGATCTTTCCCTTCAGTATGCATTCTCTCTATATTTTTGCATTGATAAGATGACATAAAGAATGAGAAGTCGCATATGAGTTGAGGACTATAACCCTATATATATATATATATATATATATATATATATATATAATTATAACCCTAGCCACTTTCTTATGATGTATTGTGTGATTTTGAGAGAAGAAAAAAAGAATCCCGGCTGCCCCCTTTTGTGTGAGAAAAAAGGTCTTCAGAAGTGTCCAGAAAAAAATGTCTCTAGAAGTGTCCAGAACGCTTGTATAACGTGTGCAATTGGTGGTTCTTCATAGTATATCTTTGTGGTGTCTTCTCCTAGCTTTTGTGGCTACAAATCATCATCCTTTCTTATCCTACGTGGGTAAGATTGAATAGCAACCAAGATGAATCAATTGGTTGTGATTTGGAGCCAATTGGATCAGTTGTTGGTTGAGAAATGTGCGTTGGATTGAGCCCGAAAATCATCGATTTGAAGATCTTTCAAGAGCACTTCCACAACAATTGGTATCAGAGCTTTAAGATGGTGGTTTTGGCTCGTGAAACATACCAAAAAGGTCCAAAAATCGCAACAGAAATCAGATCGAAGAAGCTGTCCAAAAAACTGTCAAAATTAGTCTCCGTTTTTCGCATTTTCTGATCAATCCAGAACGAGTTTAGGGAAACGGAGACCACGGGCGTGACGTGCAGAAGGAGCCGCACCCTATAGGAAGGCGCGTGACTGTTAACTCCGACGCGTGTGGCGACGCATGTAGACCACGCCTAGAGAGGAGGAGACGCGCTTGAAGGGGAATTTCGAGGAGGTCCCTTCAGGTAGTTTGTTCCTCATATTATTTCTGATATTTTTCGTGTTGAAAGTTTTTTGGTTCAGGGTACACAGTAGAATTTGGACAGCGTTGTTCTTCGGGCGTTCGAGACTCGATCGTGATTTTTTTGTTAATGTAGTTTCTAGAGACTTTAGAACGAATAGTGGTGGTCCTAAAGTATTAAATTCGCGTGTCTCATAATTTACGGACCTTCAGCCGTGGTCCGCTCGGTATCGTATTCTTTTTTTTTATTATTAGCAGTTAAAATAAAAGTGTAGATTAATTATTTATTTTTCGCGTTAGAAGTTATCGTATGATGTGATGTTAGGTTTAGGGTTACCGTGAAGTGGTAGTCATTGCCTGTCGTTACACCTAGGAATTACATGTTAATTAATTGCCTTAATTCTATGTGAATTTGTTACCAATTTTTTTTTTTTTTTTTTTTTTACACCGATAGAATTGGATGTGACCTTAGGAAAGTTTACTTGAATATTCTGTGTGAATTATGTGTCAGTACTTTGCTTGTGGTCATTATTTGGTATTGTTGGCATGTATAGGTCTAAGGCAAGTGTGGAAAATAAAATATATTTTAACTGTGGTAAAATTTGGGTATAGTTGAAAGAGAATGTCCTAAGATGATAGTAAAAGGAAAGATGAGGATAGAGACGAAGTGAATGTGACTTTAGGGTCGAGTAGTGATCTTAATGATGTTTATTGAGAGAATAAACTTGGTTACTGCATCGCATCTGTGTGTAATCCTTTCTGAATGTATATGATCACTTAATTCTGTTGCAATGTTGATGTTACACTTTCAATATATTTGATGTGTGTAATTGCATGAATTAGAGTGATTTATTACTTTGTGTAATATATTTACATAGTGAGTTAAGTTTTGTGGCGTACTCTATTTGTTCTATGAGTGGTGTGAGAGTGTGGTAGTGAGAAGAAAGTTTGGCATCCATTTCTTTCCTTTATCTTTGTGAGCCGTGTGGTTTGTGAGATTATGTGAGATAGTCATGTCAGGTTTACCTTCTTTATCTTTGTGAACCTCGTTTGTGAGTGTTGTGAAGTAACCGACTCTTTCTTCGATTTTTCTTTGTGAATGCCACCTTCGCTATTTTCTTTGTGGATTTTTTTTTTTTTTAAGCTTTGGTGATTGGGATAACCTTTGTGGTCACCGAAAGGTGCTGATTTGTCATAGTGAGTTTGAGATGCATTAGCAGTGTGTTGTGTGTCTTTTGGTAAGGTGGAGTATAGATGCCTAGGGGTAGATGGTGGTTTGTACCAGGGATGTGGAGTGTGACATTTGGATCACGAGTGGAGATGTGATCAAATGTCTAGAATCCTTTATCTGAAAAGAGACCCTGATCAGGTGGAGTGTGAGAAATGCACTTCTATCACTTCTATTAGGTGGAGAC